GGGGCAGGAGCAACACAGGTGAGCGGGATCATGGCTAACGACAGAGACAGAGAGACAAGCAGGCAGGCAGAGAGACAGCAGGTGGAAACAGAGAACACTAGACAAGCAGACATGGGGCAGAGTGAATAACCAAGAAGACAGAAACACACACAAGTTACAAAGAACCAGAACCTAAACGAGAACACAGAACTAGAAAACAGAGTACAGAGGAGACCAAACCACAATAATGCAAACAATGAATACCAAAACATGAACTAAGGACATGGAACTAAACTCAGATTCCCAAACAAGACACACAGACAGGATCATGACATTTTATGCTTTTTAGTCCAGTTATCCAATGAAGGTTGAGGTCAAGGGCAACTGGACTTGGTTGAAGATACTAATAGACGTTACATCACTTATCGAAGAGACTTCTTCAGTTCTGACTGACTGGTAGGGAAACTCAGCTATTTAACCATTGGGATTGTTAGCTAGGATCGATCCTGCTCGTTTGTTAGTGCTCCTGGCTGAGGTAACGACAGTTGTCATGGTCGTTAGAGCCACCTGTGGCCAAGTCTGAACGACCATCGTTGCCTTTACTTGAGGCCAAGAGGAAATACTTGTTCCATTTCCTTACAGATTCTACTGAATCAGAATCAGAATCAGCTTTATTGCCAGGTATGTGTTCACATACAAGGAATTTGACTCAGGATTGTACTTTGCTCATGATGTGCTTACTCATACAAAAATACCATAACACAATAATAAAATAACTATAAAATAAAATCAGACACAAACTACAGTATAGACAACACCAATATACACACTTTGGACAAAACAATATAGACATATTGACAAATAGTGCAGTGATCAGATATGTACATGTTGATGGTGGATATGATATACAGGTACACATACACATACATGCATACATGTACACATGTACACAGTATGGTGGAGCATAGTGCAAAGGATGCTGGAAAAAATAAATAAGACCTTAAGACCTGAGGTAGGTGTATAGGTATATAGTATATACAATATGACATAGTGTGAACAGCACTGAAACAGAGAATGGTGAATCAATAAATAATAAGTGGTAACCAGTAAACAGGTGGATGATTTGAGGCAGAGTTACTGGGTTGTTGCCCAGGAATTGTTCCTGACACTGTGAGTCAGAAATCAGCTGTTCATCAAAGTGATGGCTTGTGGGAAGAAACTGAGTCTGTTGGTTTTGTACAGTGTTCTGTAGCGCCTACCAGAGGGGAGGAACAGCTTGTGTCCGGGGTGAGATGGATCTGCAGTGATGTTTCCTGCCCGTTTCCTGACTGAAATGTATAAGCCCTGAATGGAGGGCAAGTTGGAACCGATTATTTTATCTGCAGTCCTGACTGTCCGTTGTAGTCTGCTCCTGTCCTTTTTAGTGGCAGATCCAAACCAGACAGTGATAGAGGTGCAGAGGACAGACTGGATGATGGCTGTGTAGAACTGGATCAGCAGCACCTTAGGCAAGTTGAGCTTCCTGAGCTGATGCAGGAAGTACATCCTCTGCTGGGCCTTCTTGATGATGGTGTCGATGTTGGGCTCCCACTTCAGGTCCTGGGATATAGTGGAACCCAGAAACCTGAAGGATTCCACAGCAGACACAGGGCTGTTGAGTATGGTGATGGGGTGCAGAGTGGGGCTCCTCCTGAAGTCCACGGTCATCTCCACAGTTTTGAGCGTGTTAAGCTCTAAGTTGTACTGACCGCTCCAGAGAGCCAGCTGATTAACCCCCCGTCTTTAGGCCGACTCGTCACCGTCCCGGATGAGGCCAATGACCGTTGTGTCGTCAGCGCGAACTTCAGGAATTTGACAGAGCGGGGGGAGAGCACACATCCCTGGGGGGCGCCAGTGCTGGATGTGATGTTTCCCAGCCTCACCTGCTGACTCCTGTCAGTCAGGAAGTTTGTGATCCACTGACAGGTGGAGGCTGGCACAGTGAGCTGGGTGAGTTTGGTGCTGAGGATGTCCGGGATGATGGTGTTGAACGCCAAACTGAAGTCCACGAACAGGATCCTTGCATATGTCCCTGGAGAGTCGAGGTGTTGCAGGATGTAATGCAGACCCAAGTTGACAGCATCATCCACTGACCTGTTAACCCTGTAGGCAAACTGCAAGGGGTCCAGCAAGGGGCCTGTAATGTCCTTCAGGTGGGCCAACACCAGTCTTTCAAAGGACTTCATGACTACAGATGTCAGGGCGACAGGCTTGTAGTCATTTAGTCCAGAGATGGAGGTTTTTCTTGGGACCGGGATGACTGTGGAGCGTTTGAAGCAGGAGGGAACGTCACACAGCTCCAGTGATCTGTTGAAGATCTGTGTGAAGATGGGGGCCAGCTGGTCCGCACAGATTTTCAGGCACAATGGTGAGACACCATCAGGTCCAGGAGCCTTCCTAATCTGAGGTCAGAGGGGAAGGTGACTGTTTGAAGATGGCGTTGGAGTGGGGGAGAGGTGTGACTCTGGGCTTTTAAAACCTACAGTAGAAACCATTCAGCTCGTCTGCCAGTTGTTGAGTACCAGGATTGTTGGGGGATGGTCTTCTGTAGTTAGTGAGGCTTCTCCACACTGACGCAGGGTCGTTGGCTGCAAAGCTGTTATTTAGATTTTCAGCATAGCATCTCTTTGCAACTTTGACCTTAGTCAGCGTGTTCCTGGCCTGGTTGTACAAGACTCTGTCCCCACTTCTGAAGGCCTCCTCCTTGGTCTGACGAAGCTGCCTGAGTTTCGCTGTGAACCAGGGTTTTTGGTTGTTGTATGTTCGGAAGGTTTTAGTCGGCACACACGTCCTCACAAAAACTGATGTAGGATGTCACAGTGTCAGTTAGTTCGTCCAGGTCAGGGGCTGTAACCTCAAAAACACTCCAATCAGTGCAGTCAAAGCAGGCCTGTAACTCCAGCTTTGAGTCGTTGGTCCATCTTTTTACATTCTTAGCAGATTTCAGTTTTTGGCTGTGTGACGGGAGAAGATGAACCAGACAGTGATCAGAGAGTCCCAATGCTGCACGGGGGACAGAGCGATAGACGTCCTTTAATGTTGTGTAGCAGTGGTCCAGTGTGTTAATGTCCCTGGTGGGACACTTAATATGCTGGCTGTACTTTGGGTGTTCATGGCTGAGGTTTGCTTTGTTAAAGTCCCCAATAACAATGAGCAGGGAGTCTGGGTGTTTTTCTCCACGTTAGTTATCTGGTCGGCCAGGTGTAGTAACGCGTCACTAACACAGGCCTGAGGTGGAATGTAAACAGTGACCAGAGCAAACGAGGAAAACTCCCGCGGTGAATAAAACGGTTTACAGTTTATAAATTATGTCTCTAGGTGAGGCCTGCATGATTTCTTCAACACTGTGACATCTATCCGAGTTAGTTCTATTGAGAAGCAGAAGTTCGTCCATTTTGTTTGCCAGAGAGCGGACATTCGCCAGGTGAATTGAAGGGAGCACAGTGCAAAAACCCCACTGTCTCAGCTTAACCAGCGCGCCTGCACGTTTTCCCCTGCAACGTTTCCAGAGGATCCCAAACAGAGCTGCCGCTCCTCCAACTAATAATTCCGGGAAAGTTCCAGGGTCAATAAAGAGCAGTGGAATATTATGAGCAGCTGAAATTCCAATGTTTAAGAGCTCATCTCTGGTAAAAGTTACCAGAGAGGGACGGCAGAAAACAGCGGTGTCACCTCCAGAAATCAAATCCTGCACTTCCTCACTGATGGACCCGTTTCAGTTCGCCTACCAAGCCAACCATTTAGTTGAGGATGCAATCAGTATAACACTCCACCTGCAACACCTGGAATCACAAAACACCTATACACCTTAACACTATTAACCCATTTAAACTCTTTACCACACTCTTGGACATGAACCTTGACCCAGCCATATGCCACTGGATAAGGAGCTTCCTGTGGAATAGACCACAGAGGGTGAAGGTTAATAACATAACCTCATACCCTCTCACCCTAAGTACAGGAGCTCCTCAGGGCTGTGTTCTCTCCCCATTGGCTCTTCTCCCTTTACACCGCACACTTTGCATCCACAGACACTTCAGTGAAGACAATAAAGTATGACAAACAGACAACAGTACAGACAAACGCCAACCTAATCACCATCACTGACTCCTTTAAATTCTTAGAAACACACATTAGCAATAACCTGAAGTGGACAACTAACACCAAACACATCATTGCAAAAGCTCAACAGAGACTTTACTTCCTCAGACAGCTTACAAAAAACAGATCAAGCATCAACTCCTTGTTCTGTTCTACTGCGCTATCATCAAGTCCATTACTACCTCATCAATCACAGTATGATATGGTAGCAAAGACAGCCAAACAAAGAAAAAACTACAGTAGACTGTCAACAAAGCATCCAAGATCATAGGAAAAACACGGCCCTCAGATGATTCCCTCTATGCACATCGGACTGTAAAGCAAGCAAAGAAAATCATCTCCGACCCCTCACATCCTGCTCACCACCTCTTCCACCTCCTTCCCTCAGGGAGGCACTACAGGTCACTCTCCACCAAAACCAAACGCTTCACAAACAGCTTTTTTCCCATAGCCATCAGGACTCTGAACTCCTCTCTTTGGTTTAGTTGCATTCTCATACACTATAGCGTGGTGATTTACCCACTGTATTCTGTATTTTACATGTTGTGAAGTGTATTGTCTATTTGTTGGTTGTAGTGGATACACATGATGCAGAGCTTAAACATACTGTACCGAAAACGAATTCCACCGGCATTGTCACGTATCTAATAAGACACTCTAACCTAATCTAATTTAATCAGAGTATTAAATGGAAATGTGCTGGTGAACTTGCTGCAGTCTGTGCTGGTAGAAAGATATGTTCTGTTGTTAATGATGAACTGATGTTGGAGTTGTGCTGAGTCCACCTTGAATCACTGAATTGTTGTTTCATGACATGTTTTTCTTTTGCGTCTGCTGTCTTTATCTCTATTTCATCTTCTGTTATCTCTCCAGACTCTGTCAGGCTGGTGAACGGGACTAGTCTGTGCTCAGGGAGACTGGAGGTGAAGTCTAACCAGAGGTGGTCCTCAGTGTGTGAAGCTGACTTTGACCAGCAGGATGCAGAGGTGGTCTGTAGGGAGCTTGGCTGTGGGGCTCCATCAGTCCTCCAGGGGGCGCTCTATGGAGAAGTGGAGGCTCCGATGTGGACCAAAGAGTTCCAGTGTGGAGGCCATGAGTCTGCTCTCCTGGACTGTAGAAGCTCAGGCTCAGCTAGAAACACCTGCTCACCTGGAAAAGCTGTTGGACTCACCTGCTCAGGTAGAAGAGGAGCTGCAGCTTTGATTTGGTTCATTTCTGTTCTGATGAAACTCACTTTACTGTTTTACTGATGACTCTCTGGTTTCTGTTCAGAGCCTGTCAGGTTGGTGGGAGGAGCCAGTCGCTGTGCAGGAACACTGGAGGTGAAACATCAGGGAGACTGGAGACCAATGAGTTACTCTGTCTCTGTCTGGACCCTGGAGACAGCAGCTGTTGCCTGTAGAGAGCTGGACTGTGGCTCTGCTGTTTCTGTCGGACAGAGAAAGGAGTCCACATACAGAGCTGTGTGGTGGATCAGGTCTGACTGTGTTCAGTCTGGATCTCCTCTGAGGGAGTGCGTAAGATCATCTTCCTCTTCCTCCTTCCTGGATGTCACCTGCTCAGGTAAGCCCATCAGAATCAGATTCAGAATCAGAAATGACTTTTATTGCCAAGTAGTTTTTACATGCACAAGGAATTTGTTTTGGAGACGAGGCTACTAGAGACTGAGGTATATAGTTAGTTTTCGGGATGTGCAGTGTGGGTGCGGGGCAGGGCTGTGCTCCGGTTTATTCTGGAGTTGTGCCTGGAGTTCTCGGCCCTTGACGGGTGGGTGGGTTGGTGGTGGCATGCAGATGAGGTAGTTGATTTTGCCTCATTGCTGGTTTGGCTGCTGGTGTTTCTCTCCGCTGGCATTCGCTGTCGTGTTCTGCCACTCGGTCTTTCTCATTTGCCCAACCTCGCACGCAGGATTCGCGGGGGGCTGCCGGGCATTGGGTATCGCAGGGCTTGCGCAGTGCGCGCATTGGGCTCGTCACTTGTGAATTGATGTTGATGATTGCATTTTGGGCAATTCTGGGAGTCTTTGTTTTTTTTTTCTTTCTCCCACCTCTATTGGCTACTGGGGTTCTTGCCTGCCTGTTACAGTCGTGGCATCCCACTCTCACTAACTACTACATTCTTTAACAGGCTTATGCGCACACACATGTACACACGTGTTTCCCTCTGCTTTTCCCTGTTGTCCCCACCTTCCATCCCCCTTCTCTTACAGGTGTTGTCCTTTCTCTGTGCTGTCTGTTTGTGCCCCCCCATCCCCGTGTGTGCCCCCCTGTCCGCCCCGGTGACAAATCAATACATAATTAAATAAATATAAAACAGACAAAGGAGTATTTTAATACTCTCTTGTTAAAGTAAAATCCAGGTCATTATACTCTATACCAGGCTGCTGGGCAGGACAGGTTAAAAAAAAATTTTTTTAAATAAAAGAGGGGAGAGTCTGAAACAGTTTGTGTCCACGGTGGGAGGGGTCAGCTGCAATCTTTCCTGCTCAGCTCAGAGTCCTGGAGGTGTACAAGTCGTGAAGTGATGGAAGAAGTGAAGCAGCCAATCACCTTCTCTTCAGAGCAAATGATACGCTGCCTGCCCTTGTCCCTGGCAGTGGCAGCAGCGTACCAGATGGTGATGGAGGAGGTGAGGATGGACTCAATGATGGCGGTGTAGAAGTGCACCATCATTGTCTTTCTTTCAGCTGCCGCAGGTAGTACATCCTCTGCTGGGCCTTCTTGGTGAGGGAGGTGATGTTAAGCTCCCACTTGAGTACCTGGGAGATGATGGTGCCCATGAAGCGGAAGGAGTCCATAGTGGTCACTTGGGAGGATGATGGGGGAGGGTGGGGCTGTGCTCTTTCTAAAATCCACGACCATCTCCACTGTCTTCAGAGCGTTGAGCTCCAGACTGTTCTGGCTGCACCAGGTCACCAGATGGCCGATCTCCCACCTGAAAGCAGACTCATCCTCACCAGAGATGAGCCCAGTGAGGGTGGTGTCATCCACAAACTTCAGGAGCTTGACAGACTAGTGACTGGAGGCGCAGCTGTTGGACAACGACATAATCAGGGCTTGACATTAACACCCGCCAACCCGCCAAATGCGGGTGAATTTCGGCCGTGGCGGGTAACACAGTCACTCCCACTAGCCACTTTGTCGTGTTGAAAAATTGTAATCTTGTCAAAAGGCATAATAGCAAACAAATTGCAATGTGACACTATGACACTATAACTCCCATGAGTACTACCTGCACATAGTGTTTGCTCATTGGTCCATTAGTGAAGCCTATTGTCTTGCGAGCTACTAACGAACGACACTGTAAACAAGAAGACGTTGTGGAGATTAAACCTGCGGGCTGGCGGTCGGACTAGTCTGTCCTGCCGTTAATTATCCACTTAGCCAGCGGCAGTGATGACAAAGCAAGCTTTTTTAATAGCAGGTGAATCCACACAACATGCACGTCTCACTCTCTCACTTCTCTCACGAGTGCACACGTCAAATATGACGTTACTTTTGTAAATGTTCATCACACGTGACTGGTCGCATGCAAATGTATAGCGCCTTTCTAGTCTTTTCGACCACTCAAATCGCTTTTACACTACATTTACCAGTCACACACATTCATACACTGAGCCTAAGTGCTCAAACGGAAACTAACATTCACACTCACTCATACACTGGCGGAACGGGGTTTAGTATCTTGCCCAAGGACACTTCGACACGCAACCAGGGGGAGCCAGGGATTGAACCGCCGACCTTCCGATTAACAGCCAACCCGCTCTATCTCCTGAGCCACAGCCCCCCATGCACACACACATCAACACAGCGTTCAGTGCGTGAGTGTTCGTGGCCGAGCAGTGTGGAGAGAAAATGCACAGGAGAACGAAGGAAAGAGAAAAGGCAGAGCAGAGGTGGAGAAAAGCAGGAGGAAAGTGATATTAAATGCTATAAAATATAGATATCAATTCAATTCAAATTAGCTTTATTGGCATGAATGTCTAACAACAATAATGCCAAAGCATCATACAACTTATCTTCTAAATATCTAAATATCTTCATGATTAAGGAACACGCAATAAAAGACAACAGGCTACTAGCAGGGCATCCCTAAATCGTCATATCACAACTACCTTTCCAGAGTTGATTCTATGTTTTAATAAAAAGTTTTCATGCCATGTAGAAGACGCATTTGTAGGGGAATAATCTGGAAAATAAATACTTGTGAACTCAATTCATATCTCCAGTTACTCAGAGCTACTGCTTCCTTGGGGCGGGGTACAGCTTCCCCCTGGACATGCGGTCTGGGGTCCTTTGCGCTTTGGGGGGTCGCAGGGTGTCCTGGCTTCTGGGGGTGGGGGTCTGCGGTGGGATTGTGGGGCGATTATCGATGCATCTTGATGTATTATACTTTTTCCCTGGGCAGGGTCTCTGGATGGCTGCTGGGCGTTTAGTTTGTGCGTTGGAGTCCGGGGGAGGCATCTCCTCGTTGGCTTGGAGGGACCTGTTTGTGTTCCTGTTTTGCTTCGTTGGCCTCGGATCCGTGCTTGCCCATTTCTCTGTCGGCCAGTTGTTGGACCCCTCTGGATACTGAGGTATATAGTTAGTTTTCGGGATGTGCAGTGTGGGTGCGGGGCAGGGCTGTGCTCCGGTTTGTTCTGGGTTTGTGCCTGGAGTTCTCGGCCCTTGATGGATGGGTGGGTTGTTGGTGGCATGCAGCTGAGCTAGTTGATTTTGCCTCGTTGCTGGTTTGGCTGGTGTTGCATGGCGGCCGGGGGGCGCGCTGGGCATGGGGGATGTCGGCTGGCGCCGGCGGCCTTAGTTTTTTCCGGCGGTTGGGGGGACGGTGGACTTTTATTGCCGGGTGCACGGTGACCTGTGCGGCGCGTTTGCTGCCGGGCTGGGACTTGCTGCTGGTGTCTCTCTCCGCTGGCTTTCGCTGTCGTGTTGTTCCGTTTGCTCTCTCTCATTTGCCCGACCTCGCACGCGGGATTCGCGGGGGGCTGCTGGGCATGGGTGTCGCCGTGCTCGCGCAGTGTGCGCGTTGGGCTCGTCACTTGTGCATTGGTGTTGATGATTGCGTGGCATTTGGGCATTGTGGTTGTTTGCTGCGCGGCGGTGGGGTGCTGGATGGGGGAGGCCACTGGTCTATGTTGTGTCTGCGCCGCGGTCGGTCCGGGCGCTGCTCTTCCTCTTTTGCGTTCCGTCGGCATTACGTTGTCAACTGGCATTTGGGTCGGGGTCTTCTGCGTTTGCATCGCGGTGCATCTGGGAGTCTTTGTTTTTTTTGATTTGATTTATTCTTTTTCTTTCTTCCACCCCTATTGGCTACTGGGGTTCTTGCCTGCCTGTTACAGTCGTGGCGCCCCACTCTCACTAACAACTACATTCTTTAACAGGCTTATGCGCACACACATGTACACACACACACATACAGACACATTCACCCACACGCACACAGACACACAGACACAAACAAACTTAGGTTGTCCCTGGTAGAATTATTCCTGATGCCTTTCTTTCAGTTACTTATTTAAATTAATTATTATTCCAGCTCTCGTGGCTGTGTTGTGTTGCTTATTTAGTGTGTGTGACTGTTTCTTGTTTTCATTGTTCTCTTAGTTGTCTTAATATGTCATTAATATGTCAGCTGTTTATTGCTGTTGTTCGGCTGGTTTTCTTTTACTATTATTATTATTTTTATTGTTTTTTTGTTTGTGTTTGTTTGTTGTTGTTTTTCTCCTCCCCAAGCCCCCTCTCTGTTCTCTTGCAGGTTTCGTTGCTTTCTGCAATTGGTGTTTCCCACAGCTTTTCCCTGTTGTCCCCACCCTCCATCCCCCTTTCCCCCTTCTCTTGCAGGTGTTGTCCTTTCTCTGTGCTGTCTGTTTGTGCCCCCCCATCCCCGTGTCTGCCCCCCTGTCCGGCCCGGTGACAAATCAATACATAATTAAATAAATAATAAAACAGACAAAGGAGTCATTATACTCTATACCAGGCTGCTGGGCAGGACAGGTTTAAAAAAAAAAAAAAAAAAAAAAAAAGAGCTACTGCAGAGCTTCATGATGATAAACATAAATCCAGTCAGAGCTCTGAGGAAAAACAAACACTCCAAAAGTCCACAAAAATGATATAGGCCTATACCATCCATCCATCCATCCATCGTCAACCGCTTATCCTGCGTACAGGTTTGCTGGGGGCTGGATCCTATCCCAGCTTACATTGGGCGAAAGGCAGGGTACACCCTGGACAGGTCGCCAGTCCATTGCAGGGATAGGCCTATACATTTTAATCCTATTGCCTTAATTGTGTGTGATTATTTCATTTTTGTTTCTAAAGCAGATAACTTTTCTACTCTGTATTACAGTATTTAGCCTAGGATTTAAACAATGTTTCTGGTGAATTTTGTTTTTAGTTTAGTGCTGCTATTTTAATGTTTTTATCTTAATAGACTTTTTTTTTAAAAAGGAGCTTTACACACAACCTTGTCAGAGCTAATGATAATATTAGTACATTTTAGCATGCCAATTTAAGCGTGCCATTGTCAACTTTAATCGTATAAAATGTAATTTCCCAACAACCAACAGTGTGGCTAGTGACTTTGTAAAACCACTAGCCACATTGGTTAGTGAGTAAAAAAGTTAATGTCAAGCCCTGGACATCATGTATGACAGTAATGTCTCCAGTGTGTCCTTTGCTCTCTGTACAGACTCTGCCGATACCAAAACCTGGTCCCCTGCCTCCATACTGCGTTCAGATATCTGTTTATAGAGATTACTGACGGACAGAATCCCACAGCTCCATGCTGAAGTGGTTTTGGAACATTTCAGGTCTTTACAGTTTGTGTTTAATGGGAGCTGATGGACTCATGATGGTATGTGATGTGATGACTGTCCATGTGTTTGATCAGATCCAACAGTTCCTCTCATCATATTGGTCGTCCTGCCGCTGACTCTGCTGCTGCTGTTGGTGTTGGTGACTGCTGCCCTTTATTTCTACTATAAGGTACTGACACGTGTCTGTTGTTCAGAGGACTGAGATGAAGCACTCGGTCTGTGTTTACTGAAGAAGAGGAGGAGTGATGCACTAACTCTCATGTGTGCTGTCATGTCTCTCCAGGCCAGAAGGAGGCAGGAAGACTTTGAGCTGGGTTATCATACCCTGTTTTTTTCTGCAGCTGAAGGAGGGCCGACTGAAGAAGAAGGAGCAGAGTAGGACCTCCAAGAAGTTCATCTCAGCTGCCACACAACCCACCATCAGCTCAGTCCAGGATTTTACACTTTTATACTGATGGTCCCTTTAAACAATTCGTCTGGAATTATTAGATTACATTAGAAACATTTTATTACTCTCAACATGAAAATAGCAAGTGTCAGCAAGAAGTATTTTCAGACTTCCTTTCTGTGGCTCTCAGCTCCAAGCCCATTGGTTCCTCCTGAAGACGTCAAGCTTTAAAAAGTCCTCACAAATATAGAGTTTCATTTTAAAACTAAGTAAGTGACACGTGAACATCTGAATCCTGAGATCAGAGAAGAAACGTGTCACAGAACCACCTGCTGCTGGATCTGTAGATCTGGAGGCATCGAGGGCTGGAGACACTAATTTGGTTCAGTTTGGCAAAAACACCTTTTTGTAGTTAATTTTGTGTATTCATAATAATTTTGCTTCAAGTTTTTAGCGTTAAGCCAAAGGAAACCCCGCTCTCTCTCGTGTCATCACCCAAAGACCAGATTCCTGGTTGTCAGTTATGGGGCATGCAGGTGTAGGCAGTGTGGATGAACCTTACCTGGCAGCAGGAGGGGGAAGAGGGGAAAATAATCTTTAAGATTCTCTACTCAAAGTGTCTTTTATTAAAATACAAATCAGCAACAAGGTTCTACAAAAGAAAAGAACAGAGCAACATAGCGTGGAATGGAGTCCCCTCTTTCTTTTTCTTTCTTTTCCACCCTCAAAATGCCAAAAACTGCAACTAATGTTTTAGTTTTTAACAATTTCATATTTGTGGATACAGAACATTTTGTCATGAAGGAATTATTCTTTTAGCTTTTAGCTTATTTCATAATTACATTAAATCATTTTGTAATTAATGAAGTTGCTTATTTCATTAGAATTTCTCTTTGCTTTGTACTTATTACTTACAGTTTTCAGAGATCATAAAGGTGAAGAAATGAATAAACTCTCGCCTTGTGTTTCGGATACCTTTGCCTGGACTTTTGTATCATCCTGCAATAAAGTTATTGGTCATCTTATCGGAGTTGTGCGTTGTGAGTTCATTTCCTGAGAGAGCCTGATATGAGACATGTAGGACTCAGTGAGGGGCCCTCTGCAGTACCAAACTGTAAGTGGGTTTCCTCCTGCTCCATGAAGGCTCTGCCATTGGAAACCCTGCGGTGATGCCTGCCACGGCCAGTTCACTCTGCTTGTTGGGAGAGGTCACTGCCATCTCCTTGGTCTTGTTCACATTAGGTCCCAGGCAGGAGTTAGCACACCATTCTACACTGAACAAAATTATAAAGGCAACACTTTTGTTTCTGCCCCCATTCATCATGTACAAAAGTATCTGGTGTGACCAGCATTTGCCTCACGCAGTGCAACACATCTCCTTCACATAGAGCTGATCAGGTTGTTGATTGTGGCCTGTGGAGTGTTGCTCCACTCCTCTTCAATGGCTGTGCGAAGTCATCAACAGACATTTCTTAATGAATACTAAAAGTAGTACCAGCAGGCTGCCGGTAGGCTGCATGACGGTTGCTAAGCAACATACATCAAAGGCTAGAATAATCAGAACTATTTATTTATATTTATTTTCACATTGCCATTTATTGTGCAGCCACTAAAAACTGTCCAGCATCAGGAGACTGACTTTGGTAACTTGAACTTGGCTTGCATTTTTTTGCAATTATAATATAATAATTAGTACCTCCTATTATTTACATTAAAAAGATAAACAGACTTAAATGAACATACTTTCCTAATGAACTACGCAGCACACCACATGACTGACAGGATGGCTGCACTTCCACCATCAGCCACTATGGTGCGCACAGTTTTGACCAAACAGGTTGCGAACATGAACTCAGTTGTATTGGACTCTGTATCAACTGCTGCTCATTTGTTTAGTATTATTGGCTTTTTGATGCATCCACCAGTAAGTACAACGCTACATATGATAATATGCTTGCTACAGTGTGTCGGCGGCCAGCAGTGCCTAAAATAATAACACTTTAATATTAGACCTACCATAAAGGGCAGAACTGCGTCTCTCCTTGAGCAAAAGTCTTTGATGGCATTTTCAGGATATTGAAACTTAAACTTTGCAACATCACAGACATCTGGGGCGAGTAGTGGACTGCTGTGCGTCTCTCTCTCTCTCTCTCTCTCTCTCTCTCTGCCAGTAATGTTGGTTAGTATATTAGAGACCCACAAAGCTCAGATTATAACTCAAACCCTGTTTGTCGCAGAGTGATACAGATCTGTGCAAAGGAATTTTTACGCTCATTATATCACTACTATGAACCAATCAGAAGGCTTGATTTGAGCTACCCGTTGAATAATGCATTACATAGAAACTTTAAACATTAAGACACATCACTGCCCTCCACTTCCATCCTGTGCTGACTCCATCCCAGCTTGAGAGACTTTTGGGTCGCAGGACTCTGTATTGTAACACCTCTCTAGTACAGGTCATCATGAATTCTTTGTTCAGGCTGCCGATGGGAAGCTTCAGCATGTTGCACCTCTCCCAGGCTCTTCACTGGTTTCTCTGTGATGGATGGTATCTGGGTGCTGCCAAGTGCAAAGTGGAACTTATTGATGGCCTTTCCTTTCCTCACTACCAGGGATCTTCAAGTTCATACAAGCCCAGGTGAACAACTCTTCAAGGTTGTTCAGGATCCACCTGCTGCCCGGGGCCGATGTTGTTATCATTCCCTTCTCAAGCTTTTGGCACTCTGAGGTTGTAGACCCAGGCTACAACCTCAGGGAGAGGGGGAGAGGGTCGAGGGATGAAGAGTAGGGGTCAAGGTGTGATGGATGAAGATTTGCGGGGAAGACAGGTGAGGGATGAGGGAGAGGAGTCGGACCCGTGCCGATGGATGTGGGGATGAAGAGCAGACCGATGTCTGCCGGCGTGAAGGTGTGTGGGAACCGGTGGAGTTGACACTCTGGATGGGGGAGCCATCTCTTCATCAGTGGACGAGCTAAACACCTAAAAGAACTTCAGATGGAAAGGTGCGAATGGGAATTTCTGATATTGTCTAGATCATTGCGAATGTAAGTGAGGTATGCTGTTGAGGACCAGTGGCCAAGGATTTTGATGATATTATCCAGGATTCCCTGCCTGGAGGCGGTGGAAGCGGCTCCAATGCGGAATGAATGCCCAGAGTGTCACACTCTGCATTTCTGTCTCTGTTTTCCCCTACACTCGCTCTCTCTCTCCCTGCCTGTGTCTCATTAGCCTCATGTCTTTCACCTGTGTTGCTCCCGCCCTGCTCGTTAGTCCCTGTGTGTATATATACCTGGTGTTTCTGTCTTGTCTTTGTCGGGTCATTGTATGTTGTCACCCAGTGTTGCAGTTTGTCTCGTGTCGTCAGCCTTTTGGATTTCTGTTGAACAGCCGTTGTTTATTAAACCACTGAACCATACCTGCTCCGCTCTGTGTCCTGCTTTTGGGTCCTCCAACCTGCTCCACCCTGCTCCACACCACCGATCGTGACAGAATGACCCGACCAAATATGGACCCAGCGGACATTGTTAAATTGCCCAGCACCTGGGAGGAACTGGGGGTGCCTAAAGAGGAGCTAACAGCCGAGGAGCCGCAGTTTTTTGAGTTACTCTCTAATATGTGGAGAACGGACCCAGAAATGGCCCTGCTCGTTGCCTCCTCCCGATGGAGAAGGTCTTTTGAATTTGAGACTGTGTCGAGACTTTGCTCTGCAACCCCCCAGTGTGTGACTGCTAAGCCTGCTAGCCCCGAGCCCCGGCCTGCCGGCTGCACGCAGGGAAGCATCCACTCGTCCTGCCCAACTGGCGCTGCCAGTCGCCAGCCTGATCCGCCAGTCTCCAGCTCGGCTAGCGTTGCTAGTCCTCAGCCTGTCCCCGGTGCTGCTAGCTCCAGGACTTGTTCCCGGCCTGCTAGCTGCAGGGTGGGAGGCTTCTTCCTCTCCCGGCCTTCTAGCACCCAGCCTGCTAGTCGCCTGCCTAATTCCCTCCCAGCTAGCGCTGCTAGCCGCCCGCCTGGTCATCTCCCTCCTGTGTTGGCTCCATCATCCGGACTGGTTGGGGACTCCTGGACATCTAGCTCTCTGGTCTCCTTTTTGATGGACTTGCCGTTAGAACCAGAGAGCCCTAGGATTGCTAGTTCCCAACCAGTCAGCCAACCAGCTCGGAGTCGACCAGCTAGCCTATGGCCTGATAGCCTGGAGGCTAGGCTCCCCCCGGAGTCCTCCTTCGAGGGAAGTCGCCTGGCCATCTTTTCGGGTTCCCGTGGTGGTCATCGGAGGCGACCAGGTCACCAGCAGCGACCGGTCTGCAACCAGCGTGATCCCAGGCCAGCTAGTGCTACTAGCTTTGTGCCTGCCCACCTGCCTGATCCCCGGCCTGCTAGCGCTGCTAGCAGCCAGCCTGATCACCAGCTGACTCCTGTTCCTTCGTCGGTGGTCCGACCAACGCCAGCTTCGTTGGTGGCCCAGCCGACTCCTGTTCCCTTGTCGGTGGTCCGACCAACACCAGCTTTGTTGGTGGTCCAGCCGACTCTTGTTCCTCGTGCTCCGTCGGTGGTCCGACCGGCACCTGCTTCACCGGTGGCCCAGCCGACTCCTGTTCCCCCGTCAGTGGTCCGACCGGCACCTGCTTCGCCGGTGGCCCAGCCGACTCCTGTTCCCTCGTCGGTGGTCCGACCGGCACCTGCTTCGCCGGTGGCCCAGCCGACTCCTGTTCCCTTGTCGGTGGTCCGACCAACACCAGCTTTGTTGGTGGTCCAGCCGACTCTTGTTCCTCGTGCTCCGTCGGTGGTCCGACCGGCACCTGCTTCGCCGGTGGCCCAGCCGACTCCTGTTCCCCCGTCGGTGGTCCGACCGGCACCTGCTTCGCCGGTGGCCCAGCCGACTCCTGTTCCCCCGTCGGTGGTCCGACCAGCACCTGCTTCGCCGGTGGCCCAGCCGACTCCTGTTCCCTCGTCGGTGGTCCGACCGGCACCTGCTTCGCCGGTGGCCCAG